GTGTGTGTGTGTGTGCGCAGTATTTATCCTCGTCGAGATATGAATCTCCATTCATCCAGGTGAGGGAGTTCAGCGGTAATGTATACCTGGAGGTTTTCCTTTGAACCTGTCATGCCGCGCAACCACAAACACACACTTAATTTGATGCGTGCTTCCCTGTGCACATGAACACACACACACACACCCTCGCACACACACGCACACCGAAACACACACAATTGGACAACCACCCACTGCCTCACGGGTTCCCTCACCTTTCACGTGACCCACATCCCAGGTGGAGTGTGCTGTGTCTGTGTGTGCTGTGTCTGTGTGTGTGTGGATGTGTGTGTGGGTATGTGGGTGTGTGTGTGTGGTGAGGGGGTTTAGTTAGCCATAACATCCTCTGAATGCAGAGATAAGTTAGCTAGCGCTGCAGAGCTGCAGCTTCCAGTGAAAGAGGGAGAAGAGGTTGTTTTTCAACCAAATCCTTTGCTTTTTTCTCTCGTCTTTGTCTCTTGTGTTTCTTTTCTTTCCTCTTCATCCATGTAATGCTCTCACCTTCTCTCCCTGAGCGCAAAAACACAGAAGAATTTGTTCCTCCTGGAATTAGCAATATTTAACAGACAAAGAAATCAACCACTCCCTGCAATATTTGGGGGATCTTTCAGTGCAGTTTTTCACATAAAAGTGGTTAAATTGTAAGAATTCATGCCAGTTGAGGAGTGTCCACAATTGTATGCCAAAAAATAATCCAACCATCTAAAATCCAAACATGTTCAGGTTTCCTCTCACACATAATTAATAATTATCACATTTTAGATGGTTAAACAAGAGAATAATTGGTGTTTCTGTTTGAAAAATGATTAATAAATCACAAAAACTGTTGGGAATTAATTTTTCATCAACTAATCATTGCAGTTCTTGTTGTAAGTATTAGATTAGGAATGGTTCGGGTATGTTACCTTTAAAAATGGTGAATCGGAATGGGGTAGTGATGGTGATATAAAGTCCTGAGAAGACAAGTTGTGGGAAAAGTCCTCCAACAGTAGTTTAGAACTTTATGGAGTTTAAAGATAGATTTTAGTTTCTTTTTTTAAACAAAAGTGGTTCTGAACTGGTCAGATAAAGAGCAATTTGAAGATGTCTCTTGGCTTTTAGGAAATTATATGTGAATTTTACCTTACGTTCATTTAATTTTCTGGCTCGCATTGCATGTATTCTTGAGATCTTTAGAGATTTACTGTAATTTATTATGTAACCAGATTATCAGTAAGTTCATTAAACAATAATATATTATTACCGCAGTGTATGTGGACGTATATTTTAGCATAATTTCTTGTAAAAGCGGCTTCAAATTTTGGACCATTTGTGGTCTTTTTAGGTCTTTTTCTTTCACTTTTTCTTCCTCAAACTGACTGCTTTCCAGTGTACCTCCATCCTCCTCTTTTTCCAACTCTACCACCGTCTTTATCTCTCTCGCTCATTCTCCTTTTTTCTCCCCCATCCCTCTGTCTCCCCTCCCTCCCCTTTGTGTCTGTTCCCGAAGTCAAATTCCATCTTTATCTCACCTGCTCACCGGCTCCTTATACAGGCAGCCGTGCGGGCAACAGCTCTGGAAAGACAGGCGTGCATGCAAGCATGTACATCATATTTACCTCCTTTATATAGTTACACATTATAAAGGGTGGTATCTATACGTTGTGTGTACACCAAGTGTGTGTGTGTGTTTCCTGGTAGAACTCACACTGTGGTGTCAATGAGCTGAAGATGCCATTAGGATTAACAGGTGGACAAAAGTCTATGAGAGCTAACAGCAAATGTTTAGACAGCTAATTAACTACAGTACTACCCAGTATTTACACTCCCTTTACAGCTGGGAGACGCAGTACTGGAGTACAAGCTGAAGTAGTAAAATATAGGTAGTAAAAGGAGAGGAGAGAAGCAGTTGCAGTTGTAGAAGTAGCAGTAGTAGTAGATTGCAGGAGTATAACTTGTATTAAC